AGAGCCACAAGCTGTCCCCCTAGGTAGAGTGCTGTGGCATCACAGCTCACAGCAAACTCCAACTCCTGGGCTCAAGCGAGTCTCCTGCCTCAGCCTCCCAAGTAGCTGGGACCACAGGCACCCGCCACAACGCCTGGCTATTTTTTGGTTGCAGCTGTCATTGTTGTTTGGCGGGCCCAGGCTGGATTCGAACCTGCCACCTTAGGTGTATGTGGCTGGCGCCCTAGCCACTTGAGCCACAGACGCCGAGCCCACAGCTCTGTTTCAAGCAACTCTTTAATTTCTGTGTCATAATTTCAACATGAAACTCCTGAAAGAGAATGTAATTACTGACTGATGCAGGCCACTGAATTCGATATGTCACAAATATTCAGAATTGGTGCTTGTTCCTTCATCTCAAGAAGAGTAACAGTGTGCTGGGATCACATCCATTCCATGAGAAAGATATCCTCTTGCATTATTTTAAATCCTCCTGGTATTATCTTGAAGTGTCAAGAAAGAACTGGTATGAAAAGTAGAAGGACTTTTATTTTTTTTTTTTTTGAGACAGTCTTACTTTGTCACCCTTGGTAGAGTGCTCCAGCATCACAGCTCACAGCCACATCAAACTCTTGGGCTTAAGTGATTCTCTTGCCTCGGCCTTCCAAATAGCTGGGACTACAGGTGCTCACCACAATGCCTGACTATTTTTAGAGATGAGGCCTTGCTCTGGCTGGGGCTGGTCTAGAACCTGTGAGTTCAGGCAATCCACCTGCCTCAGCCTCCCAGTGCTGGGATTATAGGCATGAGTCACTGCGCCCAGCAGGACAGACTTTTATTTTTGGTTCTTAAACCTTTGGCAAATCATTGTACTTCTCTGCAAATGTCTTTTATTCTTCCTAAAACAGAATATTTCTCAACATATTTTCATTGTCACTTCCTCCTCTGCCACGGAGACTTTATAGACATTTTTCTAGGGTCCATCACTGATTTAATCAGGTTTTCCAGAATTAAGAATTGGACAGCCAATTTTTCCTAAAATTCCACAGGAGTTTCTGATTTGTGCCTCTGATTTAGACATATTATATTCTAAGACAGTGATACCCAAATTCCACATGTCTCAGAACCACCTGGAAACTTGGACAGATTGTGAATTGCTGGGTCCTGTCCTAGAGTTCATTATCCAAATTCAAAACATACAAAACTCAATAAATCTTGGTCCAGTTCCCCAATTTTATTGTACATATGGATTATTTGGGGATCTTACTAAAAAGTAGTTTCTCATTCGGTAGACTGGGGTGAAACAGGAGAATTGTATTCCTAATAAGTTCTCAGGTGACATTGATAATGCTTGTCCAGGGACCACATCTACAAAATCATTGTTCTAAGACCTTGAACTCAAAATGTGGTCACCTGGCAGCTTCTTAGAACTGTATTATCTGGAATGTTGTTAGAAATGCAAGTATAGACACTTACTAAACCAGAATCTACTTTTTAACAAGATCTCAAAATAATTCATATGCACACTAAAATTGGAGAAGAACTGGACCAAGATTTATTGAGTTTCCTATGATTTGAACTTGGATAATAAACTGTTCAGCCTTCTTAATAAAGGCCTATATTTTATTCATATACTACAAAACTGTAATTATCATTTGTCTTTTAACGTGCTTAAAATCAAAGTTATTTCTTTAAACCATCACAAAATCTTTCTGGTTTTTTTTCACTTCTGTTTGACCTCACCAACATTTCCCTATCTGATATTTGAACATAATTTAGTTTTCACTTGAAGTTCTTAAAAACTGTTTCTTTCAGTACTTGGCTTTTGGCACACGCAAGGTGCTGCTGAAATGACTCATTCATCCACGTCGTTCCTGCTGAGCCTCACAGTGCATTGGTATTTTATGTTTAGGTTTTTCTCATTCTTGTATCTACTTCCTGCTGAGTGCTTAGGGAGAGTAGTTCATAAAATTAGTATATATAAGATATTACCAAGAACCCTCCTCTAGCTAATATTTCATAACATTTAAGCAACAAAGAATTTTCTTCCATATGCCTTCTGTTTCCTACCCTAACTAAGAATATAATTTTCTAAATTTCCCTTAAAAATGGGTATGTATAGGACTGTCTTAAACCTGACAGTTCCTGTTTTATCTGACGAAGCTATCATGTTTGGCTGTGTTTTTAGAGTATTTGTTGTAGTTTTAGCACTGGATAACAGCAGGGTTAAGCTTTCACAAAATAGGTGTGACATGTAGCAGTATAGTAGTAGATCTGTGATCAAAGCTCCTGTTCCTTCTCCTGCAACCTCTTGAATGCTTCATTTTTGAGTTTTACCAGGATTAAGGAAGGGAGGAACTCCAGCAGCCTTAATGCAAGTGAGTCCTTAAAATATGTGCTCCAGACACCTCACTTGCCTCACCTTTATCTTGTCTCTGATTTGCTGTATTTAATTATCTGTTGGGTAACAAACTGCTACAAATATTAATAGCTTAAAGCAAGCAATATTTTGTAACATGCAGTTTCTATGCTCAGGTATTTGGGTGCTGCTTAGCTGAGCCCTCCATCTCAAGGTCTTAGATAAAGCCAGAACCAAAGAGCTAGTCACTTGCTTACTCAGAGACTATGGTTATTTCAAGGCTTGAGTGGGGACACTGTCACATATTCTTATTGAGACACCATGGTTTGCCATGGTCTGCTTCTTCTCTCATGTCAGCAAATTAATACATTGACTTACTTCAACCACAAGTGATTCCACTGGTCTTTAACTTGAGACCATTGGCTTTTCTAAGACTTCTTTTTTTTTTTTTTAATTAAATCATAGCTGTGTACATTAACGCATTTATGGGGTACATTGTGCTGGTTTTATATACAATTTGAAATATTTACAACAAACTGGTTAACATAGCCTTCACTGCACTTTCTTAATTATTGTGTTAAGACATTTATACTTATGGTGCATTTTACAAGGGGACATGTCAAATCTAAGACTTCTTCTTAAAACCAGTATAAAATAACCATGATATACTATTTGGGAAGGATTTGTTTGCTGTTCTACTATAACCATTGTGTTTGGTATTACTATTTTCTAAATCTTGGTTTTTGAAAACAAAATAAAAGTAACAGAATTCTATTTCACTTGCTGTAAATTTCATAATGAAGCTTTTGCTTATGGATTATCTGGTTCTAAAGATCCACTGAGGCCGTATTACATCCAGAGGGGAAGAACTAACCTCATTCTTTCTTTCAATGCCCTAATGGATTAGGAAGAACAGAAATATCCTTCCCAAGGAAGCTGACTGCATTTTGTCTTGTTTTCTCTTTTTACATTTTAACATCCAGATATCACCATACCTTTCTTGTATATTACTAAAGGATTAAATCACCATTAAAACATTAACCAAGAATGATAACAAATGTTGGCCACAGCATTTTAGGTCACATCATAGCTGGTAGAGAAAAGGGCAAATTAAATTTGTTCACTGCCCTTCAGGAATAATGTTTCCCAAAGTATTTCAATCAAATGTTAGCATATTTTCATAGCCTAGGATTTAAAAATAGAAGAACAAAAGGTCTCTAAAGCATAAATCCCATTGGGTGTTTGTACATAATAATGAAAGAAACACGAGTAGATGCTAACTCTTAAAAGTAAATCATCACAATGTTAAAGAGCAATGGAGACAATAGGCAACCTTGCCTGGTTCCTGATCTGAGTGTAAATGATTTCAATTTAACTCCATTCAATACAATATTGGCTGTGGGTTTGCTGTAGATGGCCTCTATCAGTTTAAGAAATGTCCCTTCTATACTGATTTTCTTAAGTGTTCTGATCATGGTTTATCTTACAAGAGTATAAGTGAATCTTTCTAAAAGTAGAATATAAACATCTTAACACAACAACTAAGAAAATGACATGAAGGCTAAGTTAACCAGTTTGATGAAAATATTTCAAATTGTATATGAAAATACCACACTATACCCCATGATTGCATTAATGTACACAGCTATGATTTAATTAAAAAAAAAAGTAAATCATCAATAAGGCAGCTCTTGCAGGCCCAAATTTATTTTTATTTTTTATTTCATATTAATGTGAGGGTACAAATAACTAGTTTACAATGTTTGCATTTGGTTAGGTACAGTCCCTCTTGCAGTTGTGTCCCATACCCAAGAGGTGTGCCATATACCCTTACATTGTACCCATTAAGTGGGAGAACCCTAATCCCCCTCCCTCCTACAGGCCCAAATTTAATAGGAGTAAGTATAATAGAAAAAAATGGTGGCGAAAAGTATGCATAACTTAGGATGCATAAAGGAGAGGCACAGATGCCTCCAAATAGTTTATAGAAACAGAGATGCTAGACTAACCAGAGGTTTGTGGGGAAAAAAGGTAGAGGCAAGAAATGATATTCTTCTCCTTCTGTTTCAAGAAACAAGAGCAGGAAGGGATAGAGCCATTGCTTGGCATAGATGGTGAGTAATGTGATGAATGACAAAAAGCTTCTCAAATTTTGTTTGCATCATTCTCTTTATTTGGGTAGCAACAGCATCAGCCCAAAATATTTAGAAAGAACTTTGAAATAAGAGAAAAGCTATGGAAAATAAGTAGTTGGTAGCAGGAGTGTCTAATACAACTTATAGCTAGTGAAGGATTTCTAAAAAGTCTTTGGAAGTGTGTTTTATCACTTCACATGGTGCCTTATATTTAAAGTTTTTTTTTCTTTTTAACAATTTAATGCTGGTTGTTTTCACACCTAGAGGGAAATTCTCTCCATTTTACAGCTACATTTAGGTGCTGACTTACACACATTTTATAGTTTGGTGACTTATCAGCTTAGGAATATTGCCAGTCTTATGGCATTAATTTATTTTTTCATGTCTGAAAAACCATTTGATACTCCACCTTTTATTGGAAATGGTAATTCCCTAGTTAATCCACTTCAGGCTTCATATAGATCAGTTTTATAAGCCAGTATAATCTACATACACTCTCTCTTAAATAAAAACAGTGTAAGTGATTTTACTATATAATGATCCTCCAGGAGGTGGAATCATCCTTGCGCAGGGGCCATGCTAATCTTCTCTGTATCGTTCCAATTTTAGTATATGTGCTGCCGAAGCAAGCACCAGGAGGTGGAATCAAATTTATTTTTATTTCAGGTTTGGTTGGGTGTATAAACTGAAATTCAGATAGATATTAAACATCAAAACCTCATCTATCTACTTTAGCCTATGCAACAAAGATAAACTGTAAACCGTGCGCCCCTATAGAACTGCTTCTTTGAAACAGTCTTGAGTAGGTAGTGGGGAGTGTGAAGAAGTGAAATCAGACTGTGAGAAGCAGAGATGCTCAATTAGGCCCAGTGCTGGCTTGTTGGATAGGGAAGATCAGTGACCTGAAGCAGGGAAAGAGGATGTGGTATAGCCAGGTTAATGGGACAATTGAGGAATCTTTTCGAGTCCACTGCTCAGTAAGGGTAAAGCAGAGCCTGCTACCAAGAAGTATTAAGGGAGAAGGAAGGAAAAGTCAATGAAGGGTGTGAGGAGTGAGCAAGAGGGAAAGAGCCTCTCAGAGTGGCCATACTGTGCACAGCTGTGATAGAACCATGATGAAAGTGTAAGTGGTCCCAAGTTCACCTCAAGAGTATTTTCTGAAGGAAGGAGGAATGAACTTTTTGATGACACAGACATGAAATGTGAACTTAATGATTTTCTATAGAGGAGGATGAAGGAATTCCAAGAAGGCCATTGATAAAGTTATTTTGTGTTAAGTAGATCTTGTTCTCAATGTGGACCATGTGAAGCCAGGGGCTTCATTAATACACAATGTAAAGTATACCCACCTTGACTGTGTGCCCAGCTGAATCTTACATCTATTTTGGCAGGAGTAGAAATGTTTGGAAATATAGAAATTCCCAGAAACGAAAGAAGAAACTCATGCTGACTTTTCTATGCAGAGATAAGCTTGGCTATAGCTTCAGTGCAATTCTTACAGCCTTTTTTTCTGTGTACTTATATTTTACACATTTCTATAGTATGGGAAATTGAAGACAATGGTAATTACTTTTTCACTACTGTATTGTGAGCATTTATTGGCCATTTAATCTTTCCTTAAAGCAGGAATTTAATATAATGTCTGCATATCATTTCATTAATTAATAATAGTAATAGTGGTACTTACAAAAGTGGTACTTACAGTCTTACAAGGGGCAACAGCAAGAAATCTAAACAAACTACACACTTACTGCATGTAAGTAAATATCCAAATAATCTATATACTTAATCCTCTAAATAATGTCATGGGTATCATATCGTCCAGTTTGTAAATGAGGAAACAGACTTCTAGAGGCCAACTAATTTGGGAATTTGGGTGTATAAACAACCTGTGCAGCTTGTTAAACATACCAACATGTGACTCCAGCTCAGACCTGCTGAATTAGAATTTATGCAAGGTGGTTCCAGGATTCTGCATCCTTTAAGAAGTTCCATGGGTGATTCTCAAAATTTGCCCATTTGGGGAACCACTTTGACAGCACTTTTACCAGATTTATCTAAGAATAGAACATATATCTGACTGCCGAAATTTGCACTTATAGATACTACAATCTTCTGCTTCTCACAATTGTTAAATACCATGTCATTTTATCTCTTATTTTGATGTATTTAGGTTGTTTGACATGTGGAAAGTAAAATTGCGACAAAAGAAAAAAAATTAAAGAGTTTATTTGCGCAAAGAGTGATTCATGAATCAGGACCAAACTGAAAAATAGTTTGGAGCTCTGTCGAAAAAGTCCAAAGGACAGGTTTTTACAAGGTGAACACAGAAACCAAATAAAGTTGACATCCAATTGGCTATTGTTATACAGTTACCTTATTCGGTTTATTCTACTGGAAAGTACTACTAGTAAAATGGAGAAAAGAAAATGAATCTATTGAAATGTTAGAAAGAAGAGAGTTCAGCAAAGTAACTAGACACAAAATACAAAATATATTCCTATAATAAAAAGTCAGAAAATAAAGTCTTTCAAGGTATTAAAAAATGTGAAGTATCTTGTAAAAAAATCATGTTTGTGGTAAAGGACACTCAACATTAAGGTATATATTTTTCCCAAATTCATCTATAGATTCAATGTAATTTTAATCATACCAGTACATTTTGAATGAACTTAAAAATATGATTTTAAAGAAATGTTGAATAGAAATGTTGAAGTGTTAATACTGAATTATAAAATATCAAAAATAGTCAATATAATCTTGAAGAAGAAGCTGAGGAGATATGCCCTATTCTCCTATGAAGAATTACTTTTCTTAAAGAGTTTCAGTAGTAATGATAGTCAGGGGCTAATAGTATAATAAGTAATTGATGTGAAGATAATTATTTATATTAAAATATATAATTGGACCCTTACATAACATCATATTATGTTATAAAAATCAGTCACAGAGAATCTAAAGAAATAAAAGTCAAACATAAAGCTTTTAAGATATAATACAGACAAATTCCCAAGTATTTCATCTTCTTTGCTATTATAAAAGGGATAACAAAGTCATTTGCATAAGCATGTTCATTACAGCCCAATTCACAATAGCCAAGTCATGGAAGCAGCTCAAATGCCCAGCTACCCATGAAAGGATAAACAAATTGTGATGTATGTACACCGTGGAATACTATGCAGCCATCAAAGAGGGAGACTTTACATCTTTTATATTTATCTGGATGGAGCTGGAACATATTCTTCTTAGTAAAGTATTTCAAGAATGGAAAAAGAAATTATCCAATGTACTCGGTACTGTTATGAAACCAATATATAAACACACATTCATACAAATGATAAAACACAAAATAGTCCAGAAAGAAAGAGGGGGAGTGCGGAGAGGGGCGGGAGGAGGGCTAGTGAGGGAGGGTATTTGGCAGCATCTCACCAAACGTACACAATGTAAGGATACATTTCAAAACAACTAAGAGTATATTATAAATGCTGTGCCACAAAAATAAGTAAGTGAGGGGAAGGTCATGTTAATTAGTTTGATTTAAGAATTCCACATTGTATATCAATCATCACATTGCACCCTATAAATATATATAGTTATGATTTAATAAAAATTAAGTTTAAAAAATACAGAAAAGTACCTACCTAAGGAACGGAACAAAGCACATTTCAAATTACTTGATAACCTTCAAAACAGCTTTCTAATAAAAAAAAATTACAAAGCTTCTTTTTCACTTGAGATAAAAATGTCCATATATAATAATATTAAAGGTGATACAATACAGTTGGGCCAGGTATGGTGGCACAAGCCTTTAATCTAGCACTCTGGGAAGCCAAAGTAGGAGTAGACCAGCCTGAATAAGAGGGAGACCCCATTTGTACTAAAAATAGAAAAATTAGCCAAGCATTTTAGCAGATGCCTATAGTCCCAGCTCCTTGGGAGGCTAAGGAAGGAGGATGGCTTGAGTCCGGGAGTTTGAGGTTGCCTTGAGTTAGGCTGAGGCCTAAGGCCACAGCATTCTAGCCTGGACCTCAGAGTGAAACTCTAAAAAAAGAAAAAAAAAGAAAAAAAAACCCCACAAAAAACAGAGAGAGAGATACCCTACCGTTTTCATAAGCTGTAGATTTTGATGCATCAGTTTTATGATCTTTAAAAAGGAAGTCAAATATGTTTCATTTTCTCTAGACTCAGCCTTTATGAAACATTGGCATTTAATTTTTGCCCTAAATGGTCTGGAAAACTCAGACATTAGGATGAGCTGAGAGCCATATAGCCAAGGTTTTAGGTATTACCAGACATTCAAAATGTGTCTTTCAGCATAAAATTGGCCTGAATGCCTAGAATGTATTACTCCAGCAATTCATTTTCACTACTTTTTGAAAGCTGTAGGTGAGAAAAAAAAACACAAGGGATGTTCAATATATGTGTTAGGATTCTGAAAATAACTAATTTTGTTCTTTGATCATATCATAACTTAATTTTTTTTTTTGAGACAGAGTCTTACTTTATCACCCTCAGTAGAGTGCTATGGCATCACAGCTCACAGTAACCTCAAACTCTTGGGCTTAAAAGTGATTCTCCTGCCTCAGCCGTCGAAGTAGCTACAGGCACCTGCCACAATGCCTGGCTATTTTCAGAGACGGGGTTTCCCCTCTGGTTCAGGCTGGTCCCAAACCTGTGAGCTCAGGCAATCCACACTCCTCAGCTTCCCAGAACACTAGGATCACAACTTAATTTTTATGTAGATTTTTTCTAAATTTTAGGTTACATAGCTAAGCACATTTGTTATTTCCTATTTTAATCCTGAGAAAGAAATGTTAATCTACATGTCTATCTCCAGCAATGAACTTTTGAGGCATCTGTTGTGGAGCAGAGGTTCTTAACATAACATTACAGGACTGCGGGAGGATTTTTTTTTCTCCTTTTGTTAAATGTGTTTGAAAGACATCTTGAGTGAAAAAATCTCCATGTACACAAAAGCATTTAGTAAAATTAATAGGTCTAGTTCAGATATTTGTGATAGCAACAGAGGAAAGGCAACTAAGGAAGCAAATTTCTCTTGCTATATTATTCCTTCTATGTTTAAAGCACAGAGTTGAGGGTCTTATTATACAAGATAGGCAAAGATAATGAATGGATTTGGAGATAATACACCTAAGTTCCTATCCTACTTCCTCCCATAATTACCTGTGTGAAACTGGGCAACTTGTATTTACCTCTTAGAGTCTTGATTTGCTTCTTTTATACATAGATTTAATAACTCCTATGTTGCCGTGCTGCTGTGAGGATGAGTTTTAAAGTGGACATCTGGCACAAGTGAGGAATCCATAAATGGTGACAATTATATTTTACAAAGAACAACACACAGGTGTCTTGAAAAATAGATATTTATGGAAATGCCCATCGACCCATGAATGGATCAATAAACTGTGGTATATGTACACCATGGAATACTATGCAGCCATAAAGAAAGATGGAGACTTTAAAAATGTTCTTCTTCGCAAAGTATCTCAAGAATGGAAGAAAAAGTATCCAATGTACACAGCCCTATTATGAAACTAATTTATAGCTTTCATATGAAAGCTATAACCTAATTGTAGCCCAGGAATATGCAGAGGGTGGAGGGAGGGTGATTG